ATGATGATGATGATGATGATGATGATGATGATGATGATGATGATGATGATGATTATAATTGTTGTTGTTATCATTGTTATGATGATGATGTTGTTATTGTTATTGTTATTGTTTAAAAAACCCACACACATACGCACACACAAATACAATAGTACAACAGTCATGCTTTCTGTCAGGTGTGAGTCCCGGGTCATGCCCTGTACGTGGGTGAAACTATTACAGATCCCAACTAGCGTGCCCGTAGTACTGTCCGGCTGTGAGGAGATAAAACTATAAATCCTTGATCAAACACAGCTTAATCGCTCTCTGCCTAGCTATGGGACTCTCTCATTCCTTCCCCGTCTAGCGGACACACACACTCACACACATATACACACACACACACGCGCACGCTCGCACACACACACACACACACACACACATACACACATACACACACTAATACACATACAAACATACAAACATACACACACTAACACACACAAACACACATACACACATATAGACACACACTAACACACATACACATATACACATATACACATATACACACACTAACACACACACACACACACACACACACTAGCACGCACATATACACATACACATTTACACACTTGCGCACACACACTAACACACATACACACGCACTAACACACAAACACACACACACATACAAACACTGACACACACATACAAACACTGACATACACATATACACACATACACACACACTAACCCACACATACACATACACACACACACTAACACGCACATATACACATACACATAGACACTCGCATGCACACACAATAACACACATACACACGCTCTAACACACAAACGCATACAGACACTGACACACACACACACACACACACACACACACACACACACACACACACACACACACACTCACACACACTGAAACACTCACAGATATTCATGTACACAGGTTCACACACAGATACAAAGATGAACGCAAACACAGGCAAAGACACACGCACACAAAAACACATACACAAACACATGCTGACAAATATACACAGACACGCACGCAAACAAACATGCGAACACAAACACACACAAACGTACACGTACACGCACACACAAACACATACACGCTTACACAAACACGCACACACACACTTACATACACACCCCTCACACTTACACCCACACGCATAGAGCTTACTGTTGGGCGGCAATATTTGTTGTACAAATGCTGTCTATTATTATTATTATTATTATTATTA